TAGAAATTTCTCATAACAAAACGATTTTGAGAGAGGAAGAGAGAAAACAAAGATTTTGAGAATTCAAAACTAGTAGGTAAAACATTCTGTCCAACACAAGTTTTATAGGAGAAGAAGATTTTATTAGCATTAAACAATGGTATTAATTTCCGAAATAAATTCAGATACATAACCCCTAAGTTTAATACTCAAAAATAAATTGAAATTTATTCATACAGATCAGAATTAACATTGCCAAAACGGTACTCCGAAAAATACCCACGAATAATTGTCTGAAGGTTATATATATTACGGTACTCCGAAGAGTACCCACAAATAGTTGTCTGAAAGTTATATATTCAATTTTACTACTCGGTCCCTACTCGGTCAAAATGGGTTGACCAAATAGTAACACCCTAAACAAGGACTACTTGATTGGCTCTGAGTTGAAAGCCCGTAAATGTCGACGTACAGGAGTCAAGAGTCAAAATGAGTTGACCAAATAGTAACACCCTAAACAATGACTACTTGAGTGGCTCTGAGTTGAAAGTCCGTAGATGTCGGCGTACACGAGTCAAGAGTCAAGCATGAGCGCAAGAGAGAGTCTTTGTACCTATGCAATTCAGCATATCTCTAAAAGGCTCAGTGGTGCAAATCCACTTTTCAAATCAATGTGGGAGAAATGCTTTTACAATGCCTTTCCCCCTTCATTTTCCAACTCAAATGGGTCAACTTTGAGAATCAATTTCTCATTCACTTATTATCCATTTTAAACGTACAATATATCAATTTATTCGTCTCACTACGAAGAACTTGAATCTACTTTCACCCGACCCAAATCTAATATGGACCCACATATATTTATACCACAAAATAGTCACTTTCTATGTCCTTTATGCTAAAATTTCAACAAAATAGTCATACTACAATAATACTATCAAAAGAATAAGTTCTAGAAAAAAGACTAGAAATAAACTCTCATCTATAAATCCAAGACTGAAATAAAATTAACTCATATTATTAAATACATACGTAAAAGTTTCCATAAATATTGTGGTTTAGTTTTTTAAAGAAAAAGTTTGGCTTATTGCACATGCATATCATGTGTTACCATCAATAATTAAGTTGCCAATACAAAAGATTGGCCTTAGTCAATAGCAACGTGTACGTACGCCGAATATTAAGCAGCATGTGAGAACCATTACTTGGGTGTAACATAGAGATGTAAGATTGGATGGTAACACACACATTATGTTTTTTAGCTTAGGCTAAATTAATCATAAGCTCTCAAGACACCCTCACTAGATTTTTAGTGAGATTCAAACCTTCACTTACTGTTGGAGTAAGGCTTTTAGAATGTGGTTTAAACCAACTGAACTAGTCCCACCGAGCATACTAAAATAGAGAGTTTATATTAAGTAAATTTTATTTATGTGTTTGTATTAAGAACATATCAAACTCGTGATCATTTAAGTATGAAAGTGATGTTTAATCTTTTTAGCCATTAATTTCGGATATATAATTGTTGATGAAGAAATTAAAGAATGATTAAACTATTAA